CATTGTTGTTGTATTGAGGAGAAGTGGTGAGAAGTCGGGCTTTCTTTATCAAGAGACTTCAGTGTCAGTGCGTGCTCATTTGGTGTACGCTTCACTTTCAAATTCTACTTTCGACTTTGCTGACATATGCTGCTCCTGCTTTGAGTCTTTCGCTGATGGAAAATTTGTGTTATCACTGATGGTTCCTTGCATTTGGAATCAGAGCGTGGTTCCCTGACCAGCACCCCTAAAGTTGGCGAGTTAGGGCAGATATTGCCGGTGGTGTCAGGCTATGCCGTCGAGCAGTGTTGTTTACTTTCTCAGAGGCTGGTGAGTGATCTCCTGTGCTGGGTAGAGAATGCAGGGGTGGAAGAAGTACAGATGACATGACATTGTGATGAGAGTATATTGGTGCTTGCCATTGCTTGAAGTGGCACTGGCATAGTAATGTTGCTGGGTCCTGAGCATGACCGACCTCAAACCCGGCAGTTGGTGAGATCAGATAATATGTGGTTGGCTGGCAGCATCACTAAGTGAGTGTCCCTAACCCTATCTACCTTCCATGATTCTTCTTCTTACTGTGAGGAAGAGTGTGTCACTTGAGAGTCCTCTCATTGCGAGTTTGCAAGTGCGCTACCTTGAGAGTCAGGGGCCTCTGGTGGGAGAAGGGTGGTGCATGGGAAGTGCCCTGGGTGGACGAAGCACATGGTGTGGAAATTAGATCACGCATGCATGCGCTGCAAATCGGCTTCAGCTTGTGCTATAGAGGCAGATAGCAGGGTGGCCAAGTCGTCCTGTTTGCGACTATAAAAAATTCCTGATGGGTTCTGGCCACCCGCACTAGTCTGCTTGTGCACTGGGGTCGGCCATTTCAAGTAAGTCACTGCTCCCACATAACTCTTGGCTGCCAGCTAAGGCGGTGGAAATGGAAGCCAATGAATTATGAACATGTATGGAAGTACATGCCAACAAAAATACATTTTATTTTTCAATTGCCGCATTGTCATGTTTTCCTGTTGTTAGCATTTGCTCTTGCTCTGTAGCTGTATGGCAGGCCATGTGTATGTTCTAACAGACAGTGTCCAATTAAGAAAAGAAAAAGAAAGAAAGGCATTGTAGCCTTGCCTAAGGGCGAAATACATAGCAGGCTACCCTATCTGCCTAGGCTAGTTATCTTTTGCATTGTCCTTAGAAGAGTTAGTCAATTGTACAGTAATTGCCAGGGCTTGGATGTATGTACAGGAGTAACGGCAAAACTAATCTGAGGACTCTTGGGTCTACATTGTCATAAAACACACCCAATCAGCTACTGAATTGTAGAAGGTAGGAACAGCAGATCTTGCATAGCAAGTAGCTGTTTCTTTAGTCTACGAGTGGTAGAACAAAGCAGACAGACAGCAGCAAGGCCACTGCGGTGTTGTGCTCCTAGGAGGCCATACATGTTAAGACTTCATGACCGTGGGGAGTGTATCATTAGAAGGCAGGTCCTGGCAGAAGCATCAGAAATGATGAAACCCACAAGTTCTCAGGGTGTAGTAGGGACTGCAAGTAGCCAATTTGGCTCTGCTCAGCCTGCAGGGGCATGAGCTCAGCTATGGCCGCAGCAGCACTGCGTACATAAAGATTAGAAGAAATGCTTAGACTAGCAAGACCATAGGAGGAAACAGAAACTAGAAAAAAGGCAAACACACAGAAATTGCCAAGGGATTTAAAGAAGCTGGAAGCATAGGCTGAAGGGAGTTTACAAGAGAAAGAAGAGGTTATAATCTCAGTGGTTTCTATATAACTCTTAATTTGTTGAACGGGTCTCTGAAGACGGTCCCCCTTGGGCCCAGGGTGTCCCAGCATGTCCCAGAAGACGTTTGTCCTATTTGTCCAGGCCACATCTTTGTTTTTGGGCCATTCATCAATGTAGAGGTCGAAGGTTCTGCGAGGCATAAGGCCCCAATGGGCCCCTTTTTTACCCTGCAAGCAGCACAGTCGGCCGCCCTAAGTGAAGGCAGGCCCGACCAAGGCCAGAAGGCCTCTTTTCTCGGCTACCCCGCTACTGGGGAAAATTCAGGCAGTTGCGCAGCGCCAGTTGGTTGAAAGCGCCCAGCCCCTGGCTGCTTTTATGAAATGCATCTGAGGCAGGCCCTGGGCGAGACACACAACATGGACCCAACACAGGCTGCAGACAGTTGGGCATGAGTAACTGCCACAGGCCCTGGGCCTGATTCGTTCGGACTGGGGATCAGCCTCCCGGGGCCTACCGGAAGCTACTGGGCCGGGTCCCGGTGCAGCCCGGCTGCACGCAGCAGGCAGACCACTTCCATTTAGGAAAGTGCCTGCCCCCACATTCGGCATTCGGGCACTGGCTGCATGCTGCACAAGCGCTGCTGCGCTAATCGCTGGCCAGGCCCACGCGCTCATGGGCAAGCAGGGAGAGCAGGCAGCCAAAGCCGAGCTGCGCTGCATTGTGCTGGATGGGGCACATGCTGGTCCTTGGGTGCATGTGGCATCTGTGAGTGGGGGATCAAGGTTGTGAGTGATGTGAGAGACATACCTGGTGCTTGAAGCAAATGGCATTGGTCCGAGATCTGCTCGTACTTCGGGGAGCTGTTGACGTCACCAGCGGCATTGTAGATAGGCTAGATAGGATCTGCCATTTGTAGTCTGGGTGCAGAGCGCCAGTTGGTTGAAAGCGCCCAGCCCCTGGCTGCTTTTATGAAATGCATCTGAGGCAGGCCCTGGGCAAGATACACAACATGGACCCAACACAGGCTGCAGACAGTTGGGCATGAGTAACTGCCATAGGCCCTGGGCCTGATTCGTTCGGACTGGGGCTCAGCCTCCCGGGGCCTACCGGAAGCTACTGGGCCGGGGCCCAGTGCAGCCAGGTTGCACGCAGCAGGCAGGCCACTTCCATTTAGGAAAGTGCCTGCCCCCGCATTCGGCATTCAGGCACTGGCTGCATGCTGCCCAAGCGCTGCTGCGCTTATCGCTGGCCAGGCCCACGCGCTCACGGGCGAGCAGGGAGAGCAGGCAGCCATAGCCGAGCTGCGCTGCATTGTGCTGGATGGGGCGCATGGTAGTCCTTGGGTGCATGTGGCATCTGTGAGTGGGGGATCGAGGTTGTGAGTGCCTGGTGCTTGAAGCGAATGGCATTGGTCCGAGATCTGCTCGTACTTCGGGGAGCTGTTGACGTCACCAGTGGCATTGTAGATAGGCTAGATAGGATCTGCCATTTGTAGTCTGGGCGCAGAGCGCCAGATAGGATGTCGACATTGGTTCATAGTTGATGATGATGAGACTATTTCAACATTGTCACTTGTGAGCTTTTGCTGTGCTCTTATTTGGTGGAACTCGTGTTGCAATTCTGCTTTTGGTTCGAGGTCACGACTATCTGGTCTCATGTGTATGATGCT